TCGTCAACGTAACGTAACCAAAGCGGTATCGTTTGTCGGCAAGTCGAAAGGGCGCGTTCCTCGATGTTCTGCATCACAATTTCTGCTATGACAACAGAAACTGGAGACTCCACGGCAGTGCCGTGTAACTGTTTGTAGTGTTTACCGTTGTACTGAAAGTAAGTAGACGTTAGGCAAATGTTTAGCAAGTCCATAAATGTCGTCTGTCGGTAGCGGTAGTGGGTCGATAGATTGTACTCACTCTCTTCTCCATTTCCGAAATCCACCCATAACCACAGAACTTGGTTGGGGAACATACTCAACGCAAAACACCATAACAACCACAACAAACATCTTGGTGACTCGAATGTTTTGCTCCTTTTTTTTCCTGTGAAGATTCATGGCAGATAGGTCTGACTGTGACTCTCTCTATCCGTTGACTTCCATTCCTTTGCGGTTTCGTGTAGTTGGATTTTCCGCGGAGAGTCCTGAGCGCAAGAGAATGCAGGGTTATCATAAGAACCAGCGGTATTCCATATTGTACAAGAAAGAGAACTATAGTGTATGTTCTTCTGTGGCTTGAAACAGGGCAGTTTTCTTGGCAGTCATCTCCTTCCACCTCAGCACACTGACATAAGGTATCACCAACATACATGATGTTAAATGAAATGCGAAGATGCAGTGCTTGGTGTGAGTTTTCGTGATCCTTCGGGCCTTGAACGGTTGCACAATCGCTCGATATCTGTCGTAGCAAATCATGGTGAGTGTTAAGGCAGATGAAGTGGAGAACATTGTCTGAAAGGGCCAAAGTATCCTGCAACAGATTGGCCCAAGGGCCCACATGTAGCCGGACTCTTCAAAGACCCAGTCGATCGGAATGCTGATGGTGGGATCAATGGTGTCGCAAGTGGCCAAGTTTAGTATTAATAGGATATAGGACGTTTTCTTAACTTGCCTCTGAGTCCTGATAATGTGTACGACAGCTGTATTGCCAGCAATACTTAAAGTCAAGATGATGACTTAGAAGACATACTTAGGGATTTGGAACCGAGCGATTATCTGTGCCCCCAACGACATAGCCGTCGATAATGTGCTTGGCGAGTTGTTGTTGAGCCCAGGAATTGTTTCGCTTCCTCGAAAGATCCGTGAAAGTGCTTGATTTTCCATTTATTTGAAAAATACTCACTGGAGTTTACCTTGCTCGAGAGATAATAATCGGCTCATGGAGAGCGACTTGCTGATCTTAAGTTTCACGCGAATCTCGGTAATTGACGGCTTAACGGTTTGGGATAGCCGTTACAGTTCCGCCAAGAACATCTAGATCACGTCAAAGTACTGGTAAATACAAATTGATAATCTCGTCGCGTACATGTTCATTCATTAGACGTGAGTAATTAGGTAACAAAGGCTCCTCAATAGTTAATGGACATGCTTGCAAACTACTCATTATACACAAATCAATATCTTTTTCTGATAGTGGGTCACAACCTCAGCAGTTTATCTTTTTTAGAGGAAGGTCACCTATCTTTTGGTTAAAGTTTCAGTTGACGATAAATTTGAAAATTAGATAAAACAAAAACAAAAACAATAGCAAAAAAGCAGAAAAGAATTGAAGGTTAGTGATTGGAGTAAGTTTGAACTTGACTTCCACTACAACACCAAACGGCAAAAATGATGTATCCAAACAAACCTGTTGAAAATGAAAGAAAAAAAATCTCTTGTTCAGCGCCAATAAAAATATTTTCTTTGAAGCACAAACTGCTAAAAACTGAATCCATGCCAGAAAGTTCCTGTGTTGTTGCATACTCAACCCAATGCATTGAAACACTCGAGAATTGGGCAGACTACCAAGAAAGCCACATTAGTGGGTAATCATCTNGGTTTTTTAAAACCTTATCAACTATTTGCAGTTCAAGTTCTTATTTTCCTGTAATCAAAGAAAGCCCCGAGGGCAGTAAGAAGTAGGTTCCTTTTCCGGCGGTTACCTCA